TGATGCACTTAAAAAAGGAACTCGGAATTTTACTAGACCAGCCAAAACCTGGTTATGGATCTACTAATACTGGAAATACTGCTAGAACTTTTTTCAAAAACTTCCAAAAGTCGTCACAGATAACCGGAGTTAGTGAAGAACTAATTAGGCGATTTTACGTACTTCTTCAGGCAATTTCATCTGGTTTTGAAATTGACGTTGTGGCATGTCAAAGTTGGGATAAATGCTTTTTTTCGATAATCTAAGCTGTATAGTTTTTAACTGTCACACCTATGCGAAGGTAACAGGTAAAAACCACATAGCATTTTTCCATTGATTTTTCCTAACTTTGAAACGCCGCCATTTCGATAGGGCAAATAGTAGAAACTTGAAACTTCGGGGATATAATCTTAATGAAAATAGCTATCAAATGACGTATCACTCGACCCCCCTTTTCATTTGAAATTTTGTGGGTACCTGTCACCCCCACTTAGGGGTTCACAGGTAGGGGGTGAAAATACCAATAAAATGTGTCCTCCAAAAAACAAAAATTGACGTGTCTGAGCGATTTCTGATTAAACACCTAACACCTGAGAAAACCTGGGTGGAAAGTTTTTCGTGCCCCACCCGGTATATAAATAGCACTGCGTATACAGGGTGTCCCACGGTGGATGGTGTATTAGACGTTTATGGAGAACTAAAAAGCGGATGATTTTGAAAATTTAGCAACCGGGATAAACGACCATGATCTACACTTTAAAAATATTTTTGACCATGCGGTGTTGCCGCTTCTACTCTAAACTAGTGGCAACATCGCTATTTTTAATGGAACACCCTGTATGTGATTGCATATTTGAATTCTACGTAAAATTCTGAGCAGATTTCATGTGATATACCCTATACCTAAGTTCAACTGTTTTAAAAATATTGACATTTGAAAATTGACTTTTTGCAACTTTGACAGGCTGTAAAACCTAAATGGTTAATTTTAGAGGAAAACCGATTTTACATTCCTATCTTAGATTTTTATAAATTATCATTTGACACCAACTTTGAATTAAATCCATGATTAAAAATTCCAGTTAAATTTAATCTCCGGTTAAGTTCAAAGTTGGTGTCAAATGATAGTTTATAAAAATCTGAGATAGGAATGTAAAATTGGTTTTCCTCTAAAATTAACCGTTCAGGTTTTACAGCCTGTCAAAGTTGCAAACAGTCAATTTTCAACTGTCAATATTTCCAAAACAGTTGAACTTAGGTATAGGGTATATCACATGAAATCTGCTCAGAATTTTACGTAGAATTCAAATATGCAATCACATATAGGGTATTCCATTTAAAATAGCGATGTTGCCACTAGTTTAGAGTAGAAGCGGCAACACCGCATGGTCAAAAATATTTTTAAAGTGTAGATCATGATCATTTATCCCGGTTGCCAAATTTTCAAAATCATCCGCTTTTTAGTTCTCCATAAACGTCGTATACGCCATCCATCGTGGGACACCCTGTATATGATTTATTTATAGAGCCAAAAGTTTTAGCCAGCATGAAGTCTGATATTTGCATTATTTAACGTAGCTAACTCAATGTAAATGTATTGTTTCTTGTTCCTTCTAATTTTTTTTATTTTTTTATTAAAGAACATTGTAATAGTATATTACATACTGAGTAGGGAAGTGTTTCATTACTGTCGAGAGATTTATATAGTCAATCGAGACGCGAAGCGTCGAGACTGACTATTAATCTCGAGACAGAAATGAAAACTCTCCTCCGAGGTTTGTATACTATTTTATTTGCAAGCACACCATTAATTATGATTAGTCAATAAATTTTTTCATTATCAAAAAAATAAAAGAATAAAACAAACATGCCAAAATGTGTCATTCACTGCTTTGACGTTTTTACCTGACATGTTCTCATTGTTGCCAGCAAAGGTAAATAAATTAGAGTGAGGGAAGTCGAATAGGGAAATCGGTGAGGGAAGTCGAATAGGGAAATCGGTGAGGGAAATCGAAGAGGGAAGTGACACAAGTAAAGTGTCACTTCCAAATTTTTAAAAAGTCAGTAATGACAAGATTACGTATATGATTGCAAATAATAGTATATTATATACCTAGGTAGAGAAGTTGGTCATTATATATACCGAGCGCTTTTATAAATCGAGGCGCAAAGCGCTGAGGTTTATAATGCGTGAGGTATATAATGACTTTCTCTACCGAGGAATATATAGAATTTTTTTTACTACTGCTAGTAGAAAATAAAAAATTTGCTTAAAATCTGTGCTCTAATTATTTTTTTTTGAACGCCCTCTTGAAAGTGCTGCCCTCTATCAACAGCTTATGATAACTTCCTATGTACCTACAGAAACCTGTATTTTGTTTTAAATTGACGCATGAAATTGAAATTGGACCAATAGAAACATGACAATATCCTTGCGTCATGACGTCATTTTCATTATTGACCTAGGGACTTTTTCATTATTTTCATTATTCACCTAGGGAGAGAAATTCAATTTTTTCCTAGAAAAATAGATTGAATAATGACTATTTCTCAGGTAAGTAGTAAAAAAAATATATTTTTCATTTTCCACATTGTTTGGTATTTAAATCTGAAAATTAAATCCTTTATTAATAAAATGGACTTCTACTAGTTCCAATTGGTTTTCTTTCTATAGGTACCTATGGGGTTAACAATTAAAGATGCTCAATGATACCTTATTTGTTGAATCTACATGGACAAAAATAATAAACTCGCTGGTTATCTTTTGTGTATATTCCTTTGGATTATTTTTTTATGTAAGAGAAAAATTTCCAATAAACCAATAAACATTCATAAAAAATTACGTATTTTCAAAAATTCACTAATGATACTCATACGAATGAATGGAAAAATACAAAAAAAGAAAAAACCACTTGTTTCCAATTCCTACCATAAAAAAATAATTGTATTAATTAATATACAATGTATTGTATTAGTCCTATATCTTTGTTTACTGTCCAAAAAATGGTTTTGTCTTCGTAGATGTTTAATTCGAAACACTGTGCGCCACATTTTAACCATTTAGCCTAGCCGCACATTGAGTGCAGCGCAGCCTAGCACAGCACAGCCGAGCGGAGGAAGCCTTTCTGTAACGTACATGAACAAACGAAGTGCCGCATATTGCACGTAGTAACTTGTAAGGACTAGACGGAGGAAATTTTTTCCTCTGCCTGTGCTGCGTTCTTTGTGAAATGAACACAGTTTTTTCCGGACTGCGGCCTCACTGCGCGCGAAAATATATAGAAATTTTTGTGTTTAGAAATTTTCATTTGATTTTGATTATCATCAAGTTCACTTATTAAATTGAATTTCCCATGAGTGCTTTTTTTCCTCAAATAATCGTTTTTCCATATAAATTTTTTATGCCTTTTGGACAAACTATATAAAAAGACAATATTTTCTTTTTCCAAATTTAAAAGTAAGTTTAACGGAGCAGCTGGATCCATATATTTTTTTAAAAACTAATAACGGAAACACAGGAAAAATTAACTATACCTACGTTCAATATGCGGATATCGCTCTGGCAGAGCACAGGAAAAGTTTTTCTCTGTAGTTCCTCCGCTGTGCTGTGCCAGGCTGCCCTGCCCTCAATGTGCGGCTAGCCATAGCAGCCCATATATTCTCTTCGCGCTAAAGCGGTCATGTGAACCACAGTGCGTCGCGTGTGTCGTGTCAGGTGGTGCCAGTGTCTCCCCGTGTACATGTATGTCGCGTAGGAATATTTAATTCCATCATCTTTCCCTCTCTGTTCCCAGGGTTGTTCTAGGGCTGCGCATATGTAGCGTTTTCCGAGCTACTCACTCGAACTAAACAGAAGATGCGCTTTATTGCTCAACAAATATTTTGAGTTTTCCCAACATCATCTCCCCCTGGCTGAAATTAGAAACAAATGGCAGAGGACTAAGGTCTGAAATTGGCCTATTTTGTATATAAACAACATTGGGGGTTTGAAGTTTAGCCACACAAACATTTTTATCCTTACGTGGAAAAACTTCTACGCCACTCCAATGGAGATGATGTTCCCGCAACAAAACCATGTCATTTATTTCTAAATTTTTCCACTCTGCTAACCATTTTGGACGATGTTGTAATTTGTTTAGGTATTCGACTGACCATCGACGCCAAAATAGTAGTAGTAAATAGAGCTTTTCTTTCGCAATGATTCCATATATTAAGTCGGTTATCTGGTATATTAAAAAAGTCTTTTTCTGGAAATGATGTAAGGACTTCACCTATCAAAAAATGACTAGGCGTCAGGCAGAAAAAGTCTGAGGGATCAGCTGACAAGGCTGTTAATGGCCTTGAATTTAAAATGGCTTCAATTTAACTTTGCCGATGTGTTAAAAAAGAAAAAAAAAAAGATTCGTTTGGATCATGGAAATTTGACAATCAGTGATTTTTGATTGGTGCAAAAATATGGCGCAAAATTCAAATAATTTGCTTTTTTTTCTTTCAATTTCTGGCTTCAAGATTTTTTAAAAAATTAATCAACCATACTTTTATGTAGTACATAAAATTCACTTTCGTTACAGATAAATTAAATACCTAATTTTAATTGAGTGCAAGAGGTCTATTGCTATTAACAATTCACAATTCCACCATAACCTTATTTGTTCATTTTACCAGCTTTTTCTTGAAGATTTCTAATTCCTAATTTTGCAAATCCGTCCCAATTGCGATCAAAATATGAAGTGGACTGTATGTTTGCTTGATTGCTTAATTATCATCCAGTCATTAATACCTCTAAACTTCCACTCTCCCCTTTAAAACTGCACTAGTGATCATTGTGGATTTGATATTTTGGCACTAGTATTAAATTAAACGTTCCATTATTGTTAATTTCAATAATTTACAGTGTTAAGGAAGAAATTTACCAGATGTACTTCAGTTTACATTCAAATTGAATTATTTTATCCATAAACTATTGTTTCATATTGTGAGTTATTTCTAAATGCTAATCGAATAAAATTGTGTAATTCCAGGAACTTTGACGGTAGAAAACAAGAAACGCAAAGCTATAGTTGAAGAACTGATAAAAAGAGGGTACCACCCAGATCCAGTTTACACCTGGAAAACCGAAAATTTAAAGGACGCTGAAGACGAGACTCAAAACGAGGAAGAGGAAGAGGAAGATGATTCTGAGGCGACGACCTCAAAGAGCAAAAAACCAGTTGATCCTGAAAAAGCTTTCAAAAACCTCTCTGAAGTGAAAAAGTTCGATTATCTGCTTGGCTTGTCTATGTGGATGTTGACTGAAGAAAAGAAGAATGAATTACTTAGACAGCGTGATGTAAAAATTGCTGAGTTGGAGGCGTTGAAAAGGAAAACCGAAAAGGATTTATGGCGCGATGATTTGGACACTTTTATACTGAAACTAGATCAAGTTGAGGAAAAGGAACGGAAAGACGAACTAGGAGTTAAGAAAGAAAAAACTGTGGTAAGAATAAATATGCTTTATTCTAAACTAATTTATGAGAATGAGTTTAAGGTGAATTATCCCTTCCTAGAGGTTTAAATATTTAAAATATAGTATTTTATGTTTAATTTCTGTCAAAGAATATTGGTGTTCTTAAAAAGGAAACCTTAAGCAAACTTTGTCTGAGTTCGGCTTTGCACTCCACGGAGCGGAACGGTATGAGCATGGATATCGTCATAGGCGGTTATAAGCCCAGAGCACTCTGAACGCTAAAACGAACAGTATCTTATCGTTTCGAGCGCGCTCAGGGTTTACAGAGTGTAAAGCCAAACTCAGCCTATGTGTTGAGATGTTTCATAAAAATAATTTATCATTCAATACATATTCATATTTATGTACGACCACCGAGAATTAAACCGCGGAATATATGCAAACGTATATCTCTATCTCTCTCTATTCCATTGCATTTGCGTATTTCTATCTCTTTGTTATTTCCTTCTTCGCTCCAGAACGGAAAGCTTTTATTTCAGTAGACATCCATGGAAAGACTTTCCAGGATTGATGGCTATCCAGTCTTAAAATCAAATTCTCAAATTTATCTTTATTATTAGATTTGGTGCATATTAGTGTGAGCTATTTAAATCTTACTTGAGGTTTACCTACAGTCCTTACGTCCTCAGATTGATTATTGTAAATTGCAACTTTCAAATGTTGTTCACCTGATTGTTTAATTTTATATTTCAATACTTTTCTTTGCTATGGTGTTGTTTGTCATACTGATCGATTACTTGTTTGTATTAGCTTAATTTTATGTCATTATTAGTGTTAACAAAATATATTAAGTTTGGTAATTCACATATTCGTAAAGTAGATAGACTAAAAAATTTAAAAAAGAAAATGTTGATAACTTATGTCTGATTTATTTTTGTGCTGCTCAGGAAAAAACCCAAGGGAAAGGAAGGGTGAGATATTTTTAATTTGGAATTAACAAATAATACTTAGTTATTATAAAAAAAATTAATAATTTTTACGTTTTATTAAAGGGCAAGAAGGCCATCAAACGGGAATCTGTAGTACCCATGGGCACCGGTGAAAGAATCGTACCTGTAGTGTCAGAAGAACTTAAGAAGAAAGTTCAAAACGCCATAAAAACGAAAGAGAACAAAGGTAAGAGAGCAGTGAAGAAAGAACCAATTGAAATCGACGAAGATGAATTTGATGTCATGGTCAAGGATAAGAGAACGCTGGAGGACAAGTTGCAAGATTCGAAAGAAAAAAAGAAGAAAACTGGGAAAGCGGGCACGGACGGATTGAAGCAGACGAAATTGAATTTCGATAAGAAAGGTAAACAATATTCTGTGTCCTACTATCAAAGTCTATAGATCCTCGAACAAGTCCGGTCACTCCTTTGATCTCCTCAAAAAGCCGGCTTTTTTGCGGAAGGTCGTAAATCATGTCAGGACACGCCGATTTGTAGATAAGAAGCAAATACGAGGGCGCTGGTCCCGATTGTACTTGGTAATGTTTTTACAGGGGGAGTTTGAAAAAGAATGTCTTTTAAGAATATTTACGTTAATAATTTTTTGGTTTTAAAAAATTATGGAAAAACTTTTTCTGCTTAGCGATTAGCATTAAATTAATTGACGGATAATCCTAATAATTATTGTTACTCAATTAATTTCATATTATAAAGTCAGCGGTAAGTGTTACTTAACATCACGTTCTGGTAGTAACTTTGATGGAATAGCAGTTTTTAATGAAGGTTTTCCTACAAGCGTGCAGAAAACGCGTTTTCAAGCACCGATTTGCGTGCGGAAAGTATCACTTTTCCGCACAGTGTGCGTGAAAAAAAAAAAAAAACAGACCGGCGCGTGTGATTTTTCGTTAATCTAGCTGATATAAAATAATAGATAGGATAATTAATTGTTTTATTATTATTTTTTTAAATTTGTTCTCTGATATCATAAATATATATATATATTTGTGGTTAAGTAAATAATCATTTTTCCATTTAATTTGTTTGTTTATAACATTTTTTTTTTTTTTGAACGGTAGTCATTGATTCAAATAAAAAACCAGAAACATTACGTTCGTAAAACTAATATTTTATTATTTAACTTAATTTTTTTATTCGACACTTGAAAAATACCATAAATAAAACTTTAGAAAAATGATAACATAAATAAACATTCAAATAAATTTCTATTACATAAGAAATCCAAGGAAACAAAATAAAATGAATTTCTTCGAAAAAAAAACACACTGACAAACAAATTAATATTTAAAACTAAATTATTTAAAACGAATATTGTTCTAGTCGCTAAAACTGGAATCGGAACTAGACCCTTCGACTTGGTCTAGGATATCAGAATTTTGCCCAAAATTTACTTCTGGGTCGGACAGTAGCTGTAACACTTCTTTATTAATTGTATCCTTTTTCTTAGAGATATTCGGTTTGTTTTTAGAAATTGATGATATTAAGGGATCAGACGACAAGAGTAAAATATTAAATAAATCTTCCATGGTCTTAGTACGCGACATCTTTCTTGTGTTATATTGCCTAAATCTCTTAAAGTCTTTATTTCTGCTCTCCAATGCTTCCTCTGAGAGCATTCCTATTGGAAGCACTGCATTATTTATTATGTCAGCTCCATGTATTAGGATTTTGTGGATGCTTGAAGGCATGTAGTACCATGGGTATAACTCTACAAACATTTTTGCGGTTGTTATCGCATATTCGCGAAATGCTTCTGAATTGATTGAAAAACCGCATGACATAGTTTGAAGGATGACAGCAAAACGTTTAATTAAATTTTCGTCAATTCCCGTTATTTCTGAAACAACTAATGGGTTCTGAAAAAAACGTCTGGCTGTATTGCCATCATTGGTCGTTCCAAAACCTTGTTTAGGAAGATCTACTAACAATCCCATTTCTGCTTTAAATTTTTGGATGATTAAATTTTTTCGTTCTTTAACAATATTTTTATCAATTTCGTCTCGAATTTGCCATTTACATACACCCAGCTTGTAAGCTACATGTAGCAGAGTTTCAAATGAACGAATCCAGGCATGGAGGGTGGATAGTCCAAAATTTAAATGATTTTCGTAAATAGCTCTTTCTAAAACCCTTTCAATATCATTCATACATTTTGGGGTTGCCCCGCAAATTCCACACGTTTGCGTTGATGATTCGGTAATTGCACTAAAGATTTTTCCGTCTATCATGCTAAGCTGAAAATTATGACAAACAATTTTTTCTACATTTTCAACTGGAACTTTTGTCGGCTTAATTGCTTTAATTTGGTTTTCAACCTTCTCTATTTCTTTTTTAGAAAGTTCATTGGTTTCTTTTTGAAACGAAATTTTAATAGGCCTACAAAAACGAGTTGACGATGGCCGGGGATTATTCCACAAAATTTTACCGCTTTCCGTTTGGAGCCTTAAAGGTACTAAACATACTGCGAATAAATATTCATCACTTTGAACGCTTCCATCTTCATCGGTAAATTTTTGTTTATATCTTGAATGGCCTGCACTTCCATCGCAACCCCATTTATATATGATAGTAAGATTACTTTCAGATGCTGCTTCCTGTATCAAGACATCTTTTTGAACCATTGCAAGTCTAAGAACAGTTGTGTCCACTAATGATTGCAGATGTACCTCCGCAGATAGTTCTGTTATGCAAATAGATTCTTTTGGGGGATAGCATGCCTTTTTTGCTTTTTGAATGGAACCATATGATGGATAAATATCAGCATTTCGTTCTTTAGCTCCAGATCTTATTTCCAAGTATGTCCTAACCGTTAATTCTTCAGTTATATTTAGGGCTAAGGCCTCTTCTGGGGTATAATTAATGGGCAAAGGTGTGGGGTGAGAAATAGCATGTTTTATCTTAGTTGCCTCCAAACTTTTAGTTACAGTTTCCACCATCAAAGCAGCATCCCTTTGGCCTGATAACCTTAGGCTGGAACAAGTTGCAAAAGTCAACTCTTCTTTTGTATAGTTTTCCACCAAAGGTGACACCTTTTTCCTTTTTGACTGATTACTAACCTCCGTAAATAACATTGTTGGTCGTCCTTTTTTTGAGCTAGGCTTATCATTGACGGGATTTTCCAAAAAAATAATATGTGTATCTAACCACTTTTGATTTTTATTGCGAAAATCTTTTATTATACGGTTGCAATTTTTCCACTTATCAGTGACCTTACTTGTAAAATTAGAGACATCTTTGCTGAGTTTAGCCATTGTTGAACTATCTTCACAATCACACAAATTTAATTTATTTATCACATATGAAAGAACAGCTTTATTCTTGTCTTTATCGCCATTCTGTTGGTACCACACTTCAAAAAGCTCATTTCGTAAAATTGACATGTTTCCTGAAAAAAAAAAATTACATACAAACCTGCACCTTCCTGCAGCTAAAGTTATGCTATATAAGGTCCAGGAAGAGCAACAAATAAAACGGAATAAAAATTAAACCGGATACCCGCGGATAATGTGTCTCCTGGCATAATAAATCTAATATATTGCTAAAATTTAATCTAATTTTACATCAGTTTAATAAAACACGATATACACAATACTAGTTTTAGAAAGTCATAAAAAATTGTATTTAATAAATACTACATACCTAACAAAATATATCTAAAATACTTTTATAACACTTGGCGTATAAAACACAAAACACCAGAGTAACAATTACCAATCAAATGCCAATATACAAGTAAAAATATTATCGGACTTGATATTCTTCCAAATCAAATCGCGACAGGCCGTGCGTTTTTGTTTCACTTTTTTTTGTTGTTGTTATTTCGACCTTATCAGTTATTCGTGAAGCGTATTTTACAAGTTTTTTTTAATTTCAACGATGTGAAATAATTTATTTAATATTTTCTAAAATATGGAAATAATACACTGTGCGGCGTGCGCGAGAAAAGTTTTTCCACACAGATTTTTTTTTCAATTTTTCTCCTTATGTCATGCTTCTGAAAAAAAAATTTTTTTTCGAAATCACGTTCCTCCGTTCTTTCTATTCAAGAAAGATATTAACTTTTTGTACTGACCAATATCGACATCTTCAATGAGTTTAACCTACGAACATGTGGAAAGTGCACTTTACCGCACCGATTCGCAAATGGAAAGTAGCACTTTACCGCACACTATGCGGTTGAGTTACTTTACCATATAGTGTACGGTAAAGTTAACTTCACCGCATAGTGTGTGGTAAAGTAGACTGCAAAGTGTGAGATAATAGTTATTTACCTAACAAATGCGGAAAGTGATACTTTACCGCACACTTTTCAGTTCATTTTACCGCATACTATGCTGTAAAGTTAACTTTACCGCACACTATGCGGTAAAGTAACTTCACCGCATAGTGTGCGGTGAAGTGCCACTTTCCATTTGCAAATAAGTGCGGCACGCTCGTAGGTAAAGTTACTTTACCTACGAGCGTGCGGTAAAGTGCACTTTACCGCACGTATTTGCAAATGGAAAGTATCACTTTACCGCACACTATGCGGTAAAGTGCACTTTACCGCATAGTGTGCGGTAAAGTTAACTTTACAGCATAGTATGCGGTAAAGTAGAACACAAAGTGTGCGGTAAAGTCCACTTTACCGCATAGTGTGCGGTAAAGTAGAATTTGATATTTATAATCAAAAATCCTCTTTTTCAGAAAATGGATTTTTGATCATTTCCAAATTTTATCTAATTTCATTAATTAATCTGATTCATTAATTAATTTTATCAATGCCTTTTTTTGGAGTTGTAGATGCTCATAGGTAAAATTTTGTACCTAACACATGCGGAAAGTGCCTTTACCGCCCTTAACGGCTTGACCGAACTCCGCTTCGCGTCGTTCGGTCAACTGCCGTTGCGTGCGGTAAAGTATCACTTTCCGCATTTGTTAGGTAAATAACTATTACCGCATAGAGTGCGGTAAAGTAGATTTTGATATTTTTAATCAAAAATCCCTTCTCTTGATTTTCGATCATTTTTAAATTTAATCTAATTTCATTAATTAATCTGAATCGTTAATTAATTTTATTACTGCCTTTGCTTGGAGATGTAGATGCTCACATGCGGAAACTGCCTTCACCACCCTTAACGGCTTGACCAAACTGCGCTTGCGTGCGATAAAGTATAATTTTCCGCATTTGTTAGGTAAATAATAAATAATTAATTAAATAGTATTTTTGATACCCATTAGAATAATTCCATCCTTATTTATCAATCACGAATTAGATGAAATAAAATATTACCAAGAAAAACGAACTTTGACTGCTAATACGTCAATAATTGACGTATTAGCAATCGATTTCATGTACAAATAGGAAATTATTTTTATTTGTGTGTTCAAGAAGCGGCATACGTTTTAAAAATTCTATACTTCTTCTAATTCCTAAAAAATCAAATTTTTGACCATTTCTTTTAGGATCAGTAGATCCAAAAACAAATAAAAAAACAATATGTCAATTTCCGCGCGCTCGTAGGAGAAATATTGTACCTAACACGAGCGTAAAGTATCTTTTCCGCACTAACGGCTTGTCGCTGCGTGCAGAAAAGTATAAGTTTTCGCACTTGTTAGGTAAATAACTATTTTCGGACAAAGTGAATGAGTTTTCATTAAAGTGTGCAGAACATATTCTGACAATTCTGTTAGCCGCTTCGAGTGTTAATTTTGTTTGCTTATCTATGTTCTGCAACAAAGCCTAAAATGTCTTTCCATTGCTGACACCTTAAAAAATATATGATTGCGTTTTAATTTTATCAAATCGCAAAAATTTCGAATAAAATTTACTACACTTTTTGCTTGGCGCACCCGATATAGAACGCGATGCAAGCCACCCGGTAACTGAAGGCATAGACGAGGGTCCTCTTGAGCAGGGAAACCATAGGCTAGAAGTAGCGCGTCGGCAGGAGGGGAATTTTAGGCGACGAGCGAGCGTGAGCGGACTTGTTCGAGGATCTATAGACTTTGCTACTATGTTTCGTACATTCAGTAAAGTAAATAGGGTTAAATAGTCACATCTATCTAATGTCTGCCCAGCGACTCTGTGTCTACGGAGCAACGGTAAGGGGAATGCAGTTGTAAAAAAAAATGGCTGATTTCATTCATAAAATACCCAGCTGCGTGCGGAATTTTTTGGAAGTGTTATCGTATTGCAACTCCTACACGAAAATCGAAAATGACCAAACCCCCGCCACTGGATATTTCAATATAAATCGATATTCCAAGATGGGAGGATACAATGACGGAAGCCCTGGCCAATAGCGAGACGTAAGGTGACGTTAGCCCATTGACAACGACATGGTTCCCCGTGGCAACGGCCATCCTGCCAAAAACTCCACCAATCAGGTTCATCCAGGCCGGATGCTTGCCAAATTGTCAAAAACTGATGGTATCTTTAGAAAATGTTTATTTTTTACAATGGACAAAATTGAAGAAATCACTTATTAGAATAAGAATAGATCTAACAACCACGTTGAAATATTTAGCGTTTTATTGGTATCTATATTTTGTTATTAAAAAATGGATTTTCAAATGAACTATACTTCATGCCTGGTATTTTCTCTTTTTAATAATTAAACGTGACAACATGGCACATTTACGTCCGAATTCCTTCCGTAGACTCAGATCCGCTGGGCAAACAATAGAAGGGTTAAGGCAGCGCTTTAAAAATGGGTACGACACCCTATGATAAAAGTGTACATTTTACAACAATGAATCTCACCATTTTTGAAAAACATAGTAAATCTTATAATTGTAGAAAAATACCAACCAAAGTTTTGTAGCTGCAAAGACTTAGGGGTTAGTAAAAAGTTTGCTAAGGGGGTCTCCGCCTGAAAGCGTAGCACTATCCGATCTACATGTCATAAAATCTTTGTGAAATGGACTTAGTGATTCCAAAAAATAATGCTATGTTTTTTTCAAGAATCTGACCAAATTTTATCACATTTATTGCCAGAAACCTTGTAGAGCCAATACCAATACCTAAGTAGTGACTTAAGGTCTGTTTTTGCAGAAATCACAATCCAGACAGAGTGAATTTCATTGGTTGAAACTAGTTTTCTGACTGTTTTCAACCAATGAAATTCGCTCTGACTGGTTTGTGATTTCTGCAGAAACAGACCTTATATTCAACTAATTAAATAATATCATTTAGCCGCCAACGGTGCAGAAAAGAAACGCGGCGGTGGCAGCGGCAAAAAGAAACCGCTCTCAGATGATGAGGACGGGGACGTCAAGTCTGATAGTGATAGTTCTTTTGAAGCCAATGTCCCTGCATCGCCGGTAAAAGAGCGCAGCAATGTCAGGAGGGCGAAGGCAAACAAGGTTTGTAATTTAAAGATATTATTTACTCATGTGTAAATTTTTCAGATTGAAAATTAATGTATTTTTTTTTGTTGTAAAATAGATAGTTTACAAGTTAGATGACTCGTCAGATAAATCGTCAGATGACGAAGTTCTACACGATAATGTTTTGGTTAAAGAAGATAAAAAACCAGTAAGTACACTTTCTCAAAGATTTGAATTTGAAATATAGATATACATGTAACAAAATAGTGCGCCTGATCAAAATAGGTTCAGTTAAAAATGGCAAGTTTTGCAAAGGCAATATAGGGCTTATTCATTTATTTATTCATTCAACGGGCAAAATTCCAATTACAGTAAAAATACACATAAATCATTTAAGCATTTAACAATAATAATTATTATTCCTAATTTATTTCAACTATTGAATTTATTACCTAAAGCAATTCAATCAAATTACAGATATGCAATCACTCAATGCAAAAGTTTCACGAAAAGTGAACTATCACAAGAATTGACATGAGAAAGTGTTATATGCATAGTTTGTTCTGTCATTGAATTGCCATAAGCCAGAAAACGATCAGCAACCGAATATTCTTTTACAAAATCGCGTCCTTGTTTCAACTCTTTCAGTATGTGGCTTTGGTTTTTCATTATTAAGTTGCTCAGTAAGGTCAATTCTCACTTGCGCTTCACTCAGCTCCGCGACGCGACACGAACGACGCCGCGATGCAAATTGTCGCTAGATTAATATTTCATTGGTTTAAATGCGACGCGTTGTAAAGTGTAGTGCAGTGTAGGTGGGAATCTATTCATTTAAACCAATGTATCTAGCGACAATTTGCATCGCGGCGTCGTGACGCGTCGCCGAGCTGAGTGAAGCGCAAGTGAGAACTGCTCTATAATATTAATGTATTAAAATCCCATGAAAGAGAAATTGAAAAAATAACCTATTTTTTTCTGCAAAAGAAAAATTAGTTTTCCTAGCAGAGGCTATCAGACGTCCGGTCGCTAAATTTTTTTTCCTAATCAGTGCGCAAAGTTATGTTTTCCCGCACGCGAAAGCAGCTAGACGAACGACGCGAAGCGGAGTTCGGATAAGCTTTAAGCCCTCACAGCCACATATAGGGCTCCGCCCCCCCAAATATAAGGCTCTCGCAGGGCTTCGCTCCCTAAACAGGGGTTCCCGCGAGGCTGTGCCCCTCAAAAAAGTAGCTCCCACGGGACTCCGCCCCCCAAATATGGGGCTCCCGCAGGGCCACTAGTTGTGTTATGAGTCTCATGACATAACTCAAATACTAGAAAAATGGTTATGTAAAAATGTCATAACCAAACGCTTATAGATAAAAAAAAAATTATTTTATTTACAATCATACATGTAATGTTGACTTTACTGACTTTTAAAAAGTTCGAAAATGTCACTTTTTTTACTTTTACTTTAGGCCCAAGGGTCGAAAGTTTACTTTCGACCCCTAGCGTCACCCTACCCCCCCCGAATATAAAGCCACATATCTTTTGACCTGTAGCTGCGCTAGCTTTCGAAAAAGTTGCGCTAGGTTGCGCTAGCTCTGGAGAACGAGGGCTAGCGTTTTGGTAAAGAATTATCAACTGGGGGGGGCCAGGTCTACTGAGCCAAATTTGGGCCCGGTCCGATGGGTCGTTTCGGCATAATACCCTTGTCAAGCAAAATGGGGATGTTTCTAAAGCAGTCTTTCGAATTGAGGATAATTTTTTTATATTTATTTTGAAAAGTCCACTGATAAGTGGATATGCCAAACTATCGATCCTCTATCTCAGATTTTCCATTTATTTTTTTATCGCAAGTAATCACTGAAAATGGAAAAAAAAATGTAATTTGCGTGGGCGGGGGGGGGGGGGGGGAGCTCGCTGTCACTCCGTTTGAATTCCCGTCAATTTTGTCCATTTTCAGTCATGTTCGAAGCCGTTTTACTTGCGATAAAAAAATTAAATGGAAAATCTGAGATAGAGGGATCGATAGTTTGGCATTTCGACTTATCAGTGGACTTTTCAAAATAAATATAAAAAAATTATCCTCAATTCGACAGACTGCTTTAGAAACATCCCCATTTTGCTTGACAAGGGTATTATGCCGAAACTACCCATCGGACCGGGCCCAAATTTGGGCTCAATAAAGCCTGCCTCATGCCTCATCCACTATGTATGTGTAAAAAATTAATTATCTAGCATGAAAATTGAAAAAGTTAGGAATTTTTTACGAAAATCTCTTTTTTTGGGGAAAAAAATAATTTCTCGAAGACTAAAAGACCTACAGGGTTGTATGATGGCTTATTTTAAAGCTTGTTCAATGCTCTAGAACTATTGCCATAGTAGCAAAACTATCCGAAATACATTGAAATAAACAAAAAAAAGCCCTATTTTTGCACTAAATATTGTTTATAAAATCCCCTAAAAGTAATTAGATGTTGCATTTTTGGTTTTTAGCATCTATAAATGATCCTTAACAATATTGCATCGATAGTTTGCTGTTAAATTTTATGTTAAAATATGGCTGTTATTTCGCTAAGTGCCTTGGCCTATAGTTTTTCTGATGTTTAGCGACAGTTTATTTGTATGAAACCATCTGCCTAACATTCCAACATCTTCGTTTATCTTTCTTTGGATCGCAGTCGCCAGTCAACAAAAGTTGACGTGTCTGAGCGATTTTTGATTAAACACCTAACACCTGAGAAAACCTGGGTGGAAAGTTTTCCGTGTCCCACCCGGTATATGTGCCCCATGTAATTTCCGATGGCGTCTGCTGTGCTTTTATTTTATGAAAGCCAAACTGATGTTTGTGTAAAATATGGTATTTTCCTATGAATGTTAGCATCCTGTTTTCAATCATTGTTTTCATTATTTTGAAACGGTTGACAACACAGTGATGAATCTGAAGTTTGAGGGTTCATTGTTGTCACCGCCTTTGTGTATTGGAATGATTGATATCTTTATACTGCTTGGGAAAATACCATTTGTGAACGAATCATTTATGGCAGACACCATCAAGTCTTGGCACTGCTCAGGAAGCCTTTTCATGAATTCTAAGCCTAATTCATCAATTTTAGTGGATTTTTTTAGTAGTGTGTCCATCACTTCCATAATTTATTCCTTTGTTGTCGAGGTTATATAAAATGTAGGGAATGTTCAAGAACTAATTTGGTATTTCCTTGGTACTGCTGCAATGCTTTCTGTAATCTTGTCGGCATTGGTTGAAATATATGTGTTTAGTTCTTCTGCGGCAGCTTTTGAGTCCTATATAGTTTTATGTAGTTACTTGTTGACGATCTTGCATGTGTTATCCTATTAAAACCTTTGTGCTACGCTACCAAGGGGTACATTGTGAATCCCACACGCACAAAATTACGTGTATTTGAAAGAAATATTTCTCAAATGTATTGTAAGATAATCTAGACTTTTTGCCTCGCTGACAATTTGCTTAAATATATTTTTCTACTGACATTTCATAATACGCTATTAAACGATTAAAATCTGTATTATAATGAACTTCATTACGATACAGATTTTCATTATAATACTCATTTTTAATATTATACAATCTTGATAGATGGCAGCACTACTAGTTAAGATATTGAACATTTTTAACGGTAATTTTGCGTAAAACAATTATTTTGATAACTATAAAAAAGAGTTCGAATTGTTTAAAAGTTACCTAAAGTTTGGCACAAAGAATAATTATTATGGAAATAATGAGTGATAAGGAAGAATTTTTACTTTTTTCATTATTATACATTGTCAGTAGATGGCGCCACCAATTAAGAAATTTTGAATTTTTTTTTTTTGAATGATGACAGCACTCTGTTTATAGCTTTTCCATGGTAATTTAGCGAAAAACAATAATTCCATGAAAAAAATACTTCGAGTTGTTATTAAAAGTTACATAATATTTGGGATAAGGCATTATTATGGAAATATTGAGTGATAACGAAGAATTTTCACTAACACCTCCAAAAATTACAGAAAAGGCGACAAATGCAGGTAATAATATACAACCGGACAAGTCCAAGAAAATTTGCGAAAAATTATATGGACAATTTAGGGATTGGAAACGCCAAAAACACATCGTCCTTCTCAGAAAATGTTTTGATAGTATATTTTGAAGAATTACAACAAAAAATTAAACCTTCAACTGTATGGATTACTCAATTATAAAAAAATCTCTATTCAAAGTTAAGCATAATGTTGACATATCTAAATATCATAAGTTTTATCAATGGCAGTAGAAAAAATAGTGTATGCAACTCTCATGTAATGGCCATTAATACACTCGCATGTTATATACGAAACTCGCCTGCGGCTCGTTTCTTATCCTACAACATGCTCGTGTATTAATGGCTATCATTACATGATCATTGCATAATATACTATTTCCTACTGACGTTTCATAATACGCTTATTGAACGATTAAAATCTGTTTCATAATGAACTTCATTATGATACAAATTCTCATTATGATACAAATTTTTTAGCCACTGGAATCGAGTTATTTTGAACATGAACAATGTTTATATAAAAATAATAGATCTGTTTTGGAATTTTGAATTGATTCTATTAGTATTTACCAAAAGAAACAACAAAAAATTAACAAATCGGGGGCAAAATTTGTGCCCAAATGACGTCTAGATCCTAATTTTCGGAATTGTCAATAGATGGCACCACCAGTTGAGAAGTTTACTATTCTTGAAATATACAGTGAGTTCATGAAGTCCCGCATAAATTCGTATTTTGAAAACGGTCGAATTTTTGAAAAATCGCTTAGACACGTCAATTTTGTTTTTTTGTTTGAAATTTTTCGATATATTTTTTATCATACTCGCTGGTATCAACTTTATTTTTTAAAATGGTACTCCCTGTATATTATGACATTTCTGGATTCTGCGGAAAATTCTAGACATATTTCATGTAGAATGTCGTATAACGATCTTCAACTGTTTTGGAAATATTGACAGTTGAAAATTGACTTTTTTTCATCTTTCACAGACTGTAAAACTTGAACGGTTGATTTTACAGCAAAACCGATCATCTTAGTTTTCTATAAACTATCATTTGTCACCATCTTTGAAGTTAATCCATGATTATAAATTCCGGTTAAATTTAATCTCCAGTTAAAAAAAAAATTTAAATTTTTCATTCATGAAATTCTCTCATAAAATACAACTTGTGCAATGGAAATATATCTATAATTTTCGACAAATTTGCACTCATGCATTTTTAACCAAGGTAATTGTTAACAATTACCTTATGCGGGTACTTATAGTCCGATCTCAATCTCAAACTTGAGTCGTGCTTGAGTGGAACTTGGCCAAGCAATACTCAAGACTCAAGATTCTGTCTCTACTATAGTCCAAGCTTCGTGAATTCTCGGCGAAGTGAAGCCTGAGCAAACGCTTTAGTAACTTTTGTTTTTTTTTTAGTGACATTCTAGTGATTTTTAAATGTAATGTTTGGGACAATGCATAAATAATGGTATTTTACATTATTATGCAGGTAAAAGAGTTTCAAGGGTCAGCAATAGTATATTACATACCGAGTAGGGAAGTGTTTCATTACTGTCGAGAGATTTATATAGTCAATCGAGACGCGGACGTATTAATCTCGAGACAGAAATGAAAACTTTCCTTCGAGGTTTGTATACTATTTTATTTGCAAGCACACCATGAATTATGATTAGTCATTCAATTTTTTTAATATTAAAAAAATACAACAAACATGCCAAAATTTGTCATTCACTGTTTTGACGTTTTTACCTGACATGTTCTCATTGCTGCCAGCAAAGGTAAATAAATTACAGTGAGGGAAATCGGTGAGGGAAGTCGAATAGGGAAATCGGTGAGGGAAATCGAAGAGGGAAGTGACACAGGTAAAGTGACACTTTCAAATTTTCAAAAAACCAGTAATGTCAAGATTACATAATATATGATTGCAAATAAAAACTATTACCTGGGCGTATAATGTAGGTACCTACTATAGTTAATTTATTCTATGGGTTAATTCGTTACTCATTTGTAAATATACAATGGTAAAACATAAGAGGTAAAAATAAAAAAATGAAAATATAATGAAATGGTACGATTTATATTAAATTTTCATTTTTTTGAGCTTAGCATTGACATAATTTTCAGTGGTTGAAATCCCCGAAGAGAGAAAATCGGTCAGCAAAATCTGTCATTAGCTGAGGGCATGAAGGTTTTATGCAAATGGTTTTTATTTTGAACAAGGGAAAGAAATTTTCATATTTTTAATTTAAAATAACGGTTGAAAAAGTCTTTAAACAAGTAAAAAATCAAAATTATGCAATTATGGTAATATTTTATTCAAAATCATGTTCGCAACGAATCGACTGCAGCTGTTTTCTAGCTCCAAGCATTACTCAAGGTAGGGTACCATCGTTCTTGAGTCGGCCTCATCAAATGCGGGCGCAGTGTGCAGGTTTCTTGGCCAAGACTTGTCTATAGTAGGCATTTACATCTCGAGTCGTGCTCAAGACTTGAGTCGAACTCAGAAAAAGTAGAACTTTTTGCAAGTCATTTACAAAAGACATTTCAGCCTAACGAAGCACAGGATGAAAATCTTTCCTGGAATGAACTTTATCAAGAAGAAGGCCACATTAAGTCTACTCCACCAAGAGAAATATTAACAGAGATCAAACAAAATATCAGTCCGAAAAAAGCTCCAGGATATGACCTAATTACTGGGGAAGTAATAAAACAACTCCCCAGGAAAGCTATTGTGAAATTATGCAACCTTTTCAATGCGTCCTTTAGGCTAAAATACGTACCTAAACTTTGGAAAGTTGCAGAAGTTATCATGATACCAAAACCCGAAAAACCACCTCATGATGTGTCATCTTATAGGCCAATATCATTATTGCCCGTTTTATCTAAGCTTTATGAAAAGATACTGCTAAAAAGAATAAAACCGATCATAGAAAGACAGGAAATCATTCCAACTCATCAATTTGGATTCCGCGACAAGCACTCTACGATCGACCAAGTACACAGAATAACGAATTTAATAGAAAAATCGCTGGAAGAGGGAAAAGTCTGTTCCGCAGTTTTTCTCGATGTAGCGGAAGCATTTGACAAAGTTTGGCATGAAGGCTTAAACTATAAACTAAAGCTGTTTCTGCCAAAACAATATTCTGATATTTTGGAATCATATATGTGTGATAGACATTTCAGAGTCAAACAGGAAGATTTTGAGTCAAATTTACGAAAAATAAAAGCAGGTGTACCTCAGGGTAGCGTGCTAGGTCCCTACTTATATTTATTATTTACATGCGACATCCCAAAACCAGAAAATTGTCATTTAGCAACATTCGCCGACGATACTGGATTAATTACAATGGAAAAAAGTATTGAACAATCAACAGTAAATCACGTACAAATCACAATTAGTGACACCCTTATACCATATTCAAATCAAGCTAAATATCTTGGTATGATGCTTGATGCGAAATTGCGCTGGAAAGCACGTGTTCAGAAAAAAAGGCAAGAGCTTGAATTTAAGTATAGAAAAATGTACTGGTTAATTGGAAGGACGTCCAATTTAATCATACATAACAAGTTACTGCTTTATAAGCAAATACTGAAACCAGTATGGGCATATAGCATTCAACTTTGGGGTTGTACTAAAGATAGTAACATACAAGTTATTCAAAGATTCCAAAATAAAGTACTAAGAAACATTGTTAATGCACCTTGGTACGTTCGAAATAGTGATCTACATCGGGAACTAGGAATTGATACTGTAACAGAGACTATAAGAAAGTACGCAAAAAGCCATGAAGATAGACTACATCGGCATGTGAATGTGGAAGTGATTGAGCTCCTAGACAACACTGAGCTAGTTAGAAGACTGAGAAGGGTGAAGCCGTTCGAGCTAGTGAACTGAAGTTCAAAAACACAACAAAATAGTGCTATAAACACATCAAAATTGTGATTTACAGTTTAAGCAAAGTGGGGAAAACTGTTGAGTGAACCTCAAGAATTCTAAACTTTATAGTAAATTAGGTTAAAACAAAATTGCTAATTAGTCTTACTGACTAAATTGTAATGTAATAAACACAATGTGTTTGACAAATAAAATAAATAAAATAAAAAAAATTCGGTCAAATTTCCGAAAAATGATCGATAATTTCCATTGCACTGGTTATATTACTATTGAGAATTTCATACATCTGTCAAAACTGACATTCCAACCATAAACTGACATGTTTTGATTGTTGATTTAAACCAATCAGATTGGAATTACGCGATAATTTGCACTAGTGCAAATTATCACGATAAATGTGCCAGAACTGATGTTTTGACATTTTTTGACAAAAAATTTAAATTTTTGATTCATGAAATTCTCTCATTAAATACAACTCGTGCAATGGAAATATATTTATAATTTTTGACAAAACTTAAAAAACAACTGAAAATGCATTCAGGCAAATTTCTCGAAAATTATCGATAACTTCCATCGCACTCGTTATATTACTATTGATAATTTGCACTAGTGCAAATAGGGAACTTGCACATTAAATTAAAAATGGAATAAATAATAAAACACAATTACAAACATCCTAATAAATTATGCAATTAGGAAAAATGCCTGAGAAAGATGAGCCAATTAAAACACAGTTGGATCAATTGACTCCAGTTTCACAGATACTTGTCGCCAAATAGTACATAATAGCTTTTATCAATGAAATGTGTGAATTTGGCGCTTTTTTGTCTGGCTGTATTTCAGCCAACCGATTTTTTATCACTCGTTACAGAGCCGAAAATTGGTTGAAGTACATGTTTCCATACATCAGGACCTAAAGCAATTTTATCAAAACTAGACTTGGAGCCAGTATTTTGCTCTGGCTGAACTAATTTGATCCCTACCGATTAAAATCTCTCTCAAAAATTTCATAAGAAATAAGTTTTTATTCATTTTATTTTCGTTTTTAGGCAGCCTTAATAATGGATGACAGCGAAGAAGATGAACCGCCGCCGACATTGCAGCAAAGTTCCGAAGATTTGTTTGACAGCCTAGTAGGCTCTTCCACTACGGCAAAACGTGCATTGGATTCAGATTCAGAAGACGATTTTAAGCCACAGAAAAAACAGCCAGCCAAAGCTAAGGAGGAGAAACCGAAAAAGCCTAGAGGTATATCCTTTTCACCAACTAAATCTTGAAATACATTGATACATAATATAGCAAGGAAAAAAGTATGGAATACCTTTAACAGTTTCTTTACTTTCTGTATAAAAATTCTGAAACCAAAACTAATAGTACCAACTCTAATAATTCCAACTTTAGATCAAACCTTATTTGAAGTGTTCAAGTAAAATTGCTTTTTTGTGGCCAATAAATTGTCAGAATGACATTCGGGGATTAGTTTCATAGAGATTAGTTTCTAGTTAATTTCCATCACTTGGTATTTTTTCTCACAATTTTTTGGTACTAAACCATGTTTTTTTTTTCCGATGTGTTTCAACATCATATCCTCATTAACATGCTTTCTAACACAACTTAGGCAGCTCTTCTTTTTCCTCCAGATAATCTATCGATTGATGTCTTGAGAGATGCATCACCATCCCAGGCCTTTTGTATCATGTGATTTTCCTCTTTATAATTGAAAGCCACCTTTAGCAGATTGACAACCTTGATAAGGACTTTTACAATGTAGGTGATTCTAAAAAACATCTCTTACTTCCCTTTGGTTCCAGCAACCTTCGATTTGTGTTGTTAGTGCTCTACTTGCATATTGTACACTCACAATACTTCACCTAAATAGATCTCAAGATCCTAAGTACCTACATTAGTGAATAAAAAGCTATCACTTACCGACCCATCTACAGTTTCTTTCTGAAAGCAACACATTTGAAAGAACTTTCTCTAAAACTACTTGTGATTCTTGTGATAAAGTACAGCAAATAGGGATATGCACATATTTTTATTAGATTATTTAGGTTACTAAACAAAATTGTCAATTTCAGCCAAGAAAAAGAAAATGGACAGCGATTTCGAAGAGGAAAAGCCAAAAAAGACTAAAACGAAAGCGAAGAAATCATTTGACTCTTCTGGTGACAATCTGTCAGACGACTCTTCTGTTGGTCGAAAACCAGTTGCGAGCAGGCCTGGTAGAGGAGCAGCCAAGAAAACGTATGCAATCTCTGATGACGATTATAGTGATTAGGTGTATTTGTTAGTTTTTCTTGTTAGGACGTATGTTTAAAGGAACATTGGTTATTGAAGAGAGAAGCTCAGTAATTTCTTTTTTCTGTCCTTGTGGATATTTGGGGGATCGGCTTCCAATTTACGCAACAGCTGCTAGAAGTATGTAATTGGCAATTAGGTCAACCGAAGCAGTTTTCAATTATTATTTATAAAAGACATGTGGTCAGTTGAATGAGAGCAAAGTTGCGACTACTTCTGGAGATTTGCAGATTGACTGAATGGTTTTTATTTTTATTTTTTATTTGAACAGTCATTTTTGATTTATCTTAAATATTTTCACCAAAAGTATTCGAAACTTTTGGAATGGTGCCTAACGAAGCACTAAACATTCTATATTTGCTCCCTATGTTAACTTGAAATTAATTCAATTGAAGACTCAATATTCTTTCTTTTTATTTCCTCAATTGTCATGTACAGGGTGTTTGTTTATAACTGGAACACTCGATAACTTTTTTATTATTGAAAATAAAGGGCATGTTTAAATTGGAAAATTTCTTGGTAAATTGCAACGATCTTTGTCGCTACAACGATATTTTTTGTCACCATAGATATACAGGGTGCGCCAAAAAAGTCATTTTTGTAAATGGCACGCCCTGTATATTTTTGCATTTTTAAAATTCTTAGAAGATAAGCTTCACGAAAATATCAAACACTATTTGGAAAACAAAAATACACAGTGCGGTTTATTTAAAAAAAAAAACCTTTTTGGCGCATCCTGTATACCTATGACGACAAAAAATATCGTTTTAGCGCTTAAGGTTGCAATTTACCAAGAAATTTTGAAACTTAAACATACCCTTTATTTCCAATAGTAAAGAAACTTGCTGAGTGTTCCAGTTATAAACAAACACCCAGTACCATTGAAAAATGTTGCACACCTTTATACGAAAATAACTGTTTCTTTATTTTTTCTCATAAAAAAATTCTTCAACTGATGTTATGTAATTTAAAAATAACTGATATTTAGCAGTACATAATTACATATTGTTTTTTGCTCGAAAAACCAACATATCGTTGTAAAAAGTTCTTGGTGCCAGTCCTGCCTAAAGCACAAGTGTATTTTTCTATTTTGGTGTCATATCGAAGTCTTTTCGACACTAAAAGTAGTTTCGAAAAGAAGCTCTTTGTGACACTCCTTTTTTACTTATCGAAGGTTGGTAACACTGGCTGACTGATGGCCATCGAACTGTCATTCGCGATAAAATAGAAGATTTCTATATTTGGCATGTAGTGTTACCAACCTAAACATATGAAATCAGGAAATATGAGAATAAAATTTCCAAGAAAAATTTGTTTTTTTCAATTAAACAATACCAAAATAGAAAAAATAGTATAAAATATTCGTTTCATAAGACATTTTATCGCACTCGCCCTTTAGAAAACTCGCCTCCGGCTCGTTTTCTAATATAGGGCTCGTGCGATAAAATGACGTCTTATGAAACTTGTATTTTAATGTACTATTTTGATTTAGGATGCGAGATGTTTTAATAGTGATGTTGGTTTTGGATAGTTCATTATGAACTTAGCAAAACTCTCACTTTTTTAATATAATTGTGTAATTTATATTTTTTTAAATATGTTCTTGTAATAAAAAAAGTATTTATGACGAATTTGGTGTTTGATTTTCTTTCTGTTATTGGCAATCAATTCAAAACTAAAAATGTTAATTGGATAAGTATAGTATACAGTACACACACAGGATTAAGAGGTATACCTCGTAGGGTTGTGCCGTTTGAAATTTTCAAATGAAATTTCCATGTTTGAAATATTCAAATGTGAAATTTTCAATATTCGAAAAAAGTGAAATTTCAAAGAAATTGCATGTGAAAATTTCAATTCGAAATTTCCCAAACTTTATAGAAAATTTCATATGTTTCACTGGAAATTTCATAAATTTCATCGAAATTTTCAAAAAGCTTACATATTTCGCCGGGATATACAGGGAGTTATTGGCAATAATGGCAACGCTGCTCACTGGTTGTCTTGCTCTGGATTGTTGGAATCTTAATTCTTAGCAAATTTCTTATCTAGGTTGCAATTCATTTGCCACGATTCGATTTTACAGGACACGACACGACAAAACAAGTTTCCGAGGCAGATGAATTTCAGTTGGAAGCCTAAAATTATGATAAATACAGTTAAACCAAAAAAACAATAATATTTGGAGCTACTCCACTCAACTGACTAGGAAATAAATAAGAGAAAGGAAGAATGTGTTTTTTCTACGAGCGTGCGGGAAATGGCTCTTTCCGCACTATTTGCTGTGTGGGCAGACTTTCTTGTTTTGTGTGTTGTTTTCATCTCAATACATTTATAAATTTACCTTCTGCTCAGTCGCATTTTATTTAAATTACATTTTTCGTAACATCACCTTTAGTACGATTGTAGAAAAAATATAGTTCCTGAAGCTTGCAGGTAGAAATTTCCGGCACTCGGGAGCTTCGTACACTCGTGCCGGAAAAGTCTCCTCCCGTACTTGTTAGGAAAATAGCTATTATTTATTTACATTCGACACTTAAGCCAGAATAAAATGTCTGAAGAATGTCTAACCAGTGTACCTACCTACTTATTTATTTTTGTGTGTACCTATCCTACCACCACCTCAACAACCTCATATTGAATATGTGAAACACCCCCACGCTCCTCATACGGAAAGTGTCAGTTAAAAATCGACGAACAATTAACACCATACCCTGCTAAACTAATACCCCAGCTAATACACAAAGTCACATAGTCATGTCACATCACAATTGAATTTTATAGAACATTTTTTGGAGTCAAATAAATTTTGTTATTTATTGTCGTGCGATACAAATCACCCAATCATGTCAACATAATACTGAAAACAGCCCTAGGGTGTTTTCACTCTGTGACATTGGTGTCAAAAAAATTTCTATCCGAATAACCCTCGAACATTCATAAATACTCAAAAATGTTACAACTTTCTCAAGCTTGTTACCTATAGAAACAGACCTCCGCTAGCGCCTCGGTCTGTTTTCAAGCAACAAGCTTTTGAAATCTGTTATAAATTTTTTTCGGATCAATGTTCTTGGGCTATTACTACTGCAAATTTCATGGAATTTTATGAAATTTTATTGAAAATTTCATAGTGAATCATTTAATTTTGAAAATTTCATGAAATTTTGGAAATTTTCGAAAAAATTCAGAAATTTTGAAAATTTCACGGAAATTTCTAAAATTTCAATATTTCCATGAAAATTTCAAACTGAAATTTCCAGATGAAGTGAAAAGTGAAATTTACCCAACCCTAATACCTCGACGATACTCAGACTATCCTGATGCATACACAATATGAAATATTGTTTCTTCTATTGGAAGATTAATCTTATTGATAAGAATCTTATACTTAAACTTTATTTTTATTTTATGAGAAGCTTTTTCCGCAAATCGAATAAACGTTAACATCTTTTAACTTATCAACCTCTATTGAATGAATACAACGGTTTCCCCCTACAGAACACAGCTTTAATGAAATTCCTGTAGTTACTTCTAATGAACTTCTAATATGGCAGATTAGTGCACTGGACTCAAACTGCAAAAATAAAGTTTAAACTTTTTTTAGAAATCGCAACATGAAAAACCTTATTATTGCAAGATAGTGCTTCACCTTTAATAGATATTTTTCCACGACCATACATTAATAATTTTAGTAATTATTACAATTGTATTAAGACATATAATATTTTCGGGGATAATACCACGAGAGCTGCAAAATTACCGATAATTTTTCACGATTGCGTGTTTTCTATAATTTCACGAGTCCGTAGGACGAGTGAAATTTGCAGAAAAAACACGCATTAGTGAAAAATTATCTGGTTCATTTTAAAGCTCAAGTGGTATTTAGAGGATTATTTCACGTATGAGAATGCGAAAAATATGGAAATAAATATGTATTAAACGATTTGAACATCTTAACAATCAATACAAATAAATGGTTGCTATCAGGAACCGTTTGTTTGTTTATAAAAATTAGCATGACAACCATGTATACAATAGCATGGGAGAATTATCGCTGTAATTCTCTCTAGTTAAACAAATGGAAAAGATAATTTTCGCTGTAATTCTGAAAACCGTCACTTGTCTTATGGGATTTCTAACACATGAGTGGAATAATCACTGTAATTCTGAAAATCGTCATTTGTCTTATGGGATTTCTAACACATGAGTGGAATAATCTATATTATTTAATAAATTTAGTATTTTTTCCAAATTTCATCTCTGTAGCATAAATAATAGGAAAGCTAGCCTTCAGCGCGTACAGGGTGATCCAGTATAAAGTGAACACCCCCTACCTTTTCGCTAAAAAAATTTTTTTTCAAAAAATCAAGATAGCCATTTGGTGTATTTTGTTTCTAAGAATTTGACGTTTTTCGAAATTTAATTAGATTTTCCATTAAAGCGTTGTGACCAAAATAGTTATTTTTGTATCTAGTGCGCGAAATGCTACTTTGGTGATCTGATTTTTTTAACGAGGCGTAGCCGAGTTAAAAAAATAGTCGAGATCACCAAAGTATTTCGCGCCCGAGTTGCAAACAATATTTTTTCTACAACTCCATTTAGATATCGATCATTCGAAGCTAAAATTGCATTTTCAAATAAAAGTAGGTGAATTTTAATTATTTTTGGTTTCCTGACAGGTATGTGTCACCATGACACCCAGTGTGCGAACTAGCTATTTCGCGCACACGTGCGCGAAATAGCTAGTTCGCGCACGGCGCCATGGGAACGTTGAAAAATCAATACCTGGGAAAAAAAGTGTCACTTCGCAAACTGTCATGAGTGTGCGAACATCATCATTTTTTGACAGTTGTAGAAAAAAGTAATTTTTTTAAATGGAATCACCTATATTTAAATCTATTTTTTTTAACGCCCCTATTTTTCTCCTTTCAAATATATAGTTTGTTTATTTTTATTTCAGTAATTTGCCATATATTCTCACTTTGAAATGCACATAAAAATAGCCGAAAATAAGGGCCTTCAAAAAATGGATTTAAATATAGGTTATTCCATTTAAAAATAGTAGTTTTCCTAATCAGTGCGCAAAGTTATGTTTTCCCGCACGCGAAAGCAGTTAGACGAACGACGCGAAGCGGAGTTCGGATAAGCTTTAAGTGTTAGGAACAATATTTTTTCTACGAGAGAAATAACTATACCCTTTTTAAATTTTTAATTTCTATAGGCATCAAAAACAACAATTTGTTGTAACTAACTATAGGCCTGTTCGCACAGCAATCACAAACCAGTCAGAGCGAATTTCATTGGTTGGAAACAGTCAGAAACAGTCAGAAAACTAGTTTCAACCAATGAAATTCGCTCTGACTGGTTGGTGATTTCTGTGCGAACAGGCCTAATATCTAAATCGGCCAAAAAAATTTTCGGCCCCCTCTCGGCGGGGCTTTGCCCCCTAAACAAGGGGGCCCGCGGGGCTGGCCCCCCCAAAAAATGGGCTCCCGCGGGGCTGGGCCCCCCAAAAAATGGGCTCCCGCGGGACTCCGACCCCCAAATATGAGGCCCTCGCAGCCAAATATAGGGCTCCGCCCCCCAAATATAGGGCTCTCGCGGGGCCACCGCGGGGCTGTGCCCCTCAAAAAAGTGGCTCCCGGGGGGCTCTGCCCCCCAAATATGGGGCAATCGCAGGGCTTTGCCCCCCAGATATATAGGGGGTCCCCAGATTTTATTATGGTTACCAGAAAAAAAAGTGTGCGGGAAAATTTTTTTCCCGCATAGTGTGCGCAAAGTAGTTACTTTGCGCACACTTTTGGGAAAGGGCTTCTTTGCGTACGCAAAAATGAGCGCAAAGTAGTTACTTTGCGCACAGTCGTAGAAAAAAATATTATGACGCCGAAATTAATTTTTTACGTGCTTCTAATTTAGATGAGTGCTCTAAAAATCCTGAAGTTTCTTCAAATAAAATTGAATGTTCTCTGTGTGGGAAGTTTTTTCTGGGAGAAAGAGGACTAAAGCAACACAAATCAATCAAACATTTATCAGAAGAAATTACCGACAATTTTCTTTTAAATAGCGAAGAAATCACTGAATATTTAACAGGTCTTAGATCTGTTGTCACAGTAATTCGTCGTATTCCAAAAGGTGCTCGTTCCTGTATAGCCGAAGAACTTTCAAACCTTTTGGTTAAATGCATTTCTGAAAATTCTCCCCGTTCCTGGTTTAATTTGTTCCTGTTTCCATACGCTGTTCTAAAACTTCCAGAAAAAACAAGACAAAATAAGAAACAATCACTAACCACTTTAGTTAAACAAAATTTATCAATATGGAAAAAACAAAAATTACTTTCCCACAAATTAATTGAAGATTTTTACAAGCCTTCTTTTTCAAAATCAATAACAAAACCAAAGAAATCCAAATTGAACTATTTAAAATCCAGGATAAATGCAAAATTATCCGAAAATGACATCAAAGGTTCCATAAGATTACTTTGCTCCGAAGATACTATAGCAGATGCTGATTCTAACACCTTTGAAAAACTAAAAGAAAAACATCCTCCACCTCTTGTCAATGACGTCTTCCCGAACTCACCTGAACGTGAATATTCTTTTGACATATCAGTTTTAGACATTAAAAATTTAAT